AGACATTGAATCTACTTAAGACTGTAAAAGGTTAGCACAAGTAGAGCCTTAAACAATGTCATCGACATATATCTGAACAATAATGATATGATTATTAGTTCTTCTAACAAATAGGGTTCTGTCTGCCTCCCCTCTATTGAACTGTATTTCAAGTAAGAAGTCAGTGAGTCTTTGATACCATGCTCTAGGAGCTTGTTTAAGACCATACAGTGCCTTCTTAAGCTTGAAAACATGATTAGGTTTGGCAGAATCTTCAAAACCCTTTGGCTGTTCAACATATGCTTCCTCATTTAAAACCCCATTCAGAAATGCACTTTTGATATCCATCTGATACAGTTTGATTTTAAGAAAGCAGGCTATAGCAAGAAGTAATCTAATAGATTCAATTCTAGCTACTGGAGCAAAAGTCTCATCAAAGTCTATACCCTCAATTTGAGTGTATCCTTGTGCTACTAACCTAGCCTTATTTCTAACAACTGTACCTTTTTCATCAGTTTTGTTTTTGAAGATCCACTTAGTCCCTATCACATTTACATGGCTTGGTCTGGGGACTAAGTACCAAACATCATTTCTGATGAATTGATTCAACTCTTCATGCATTGCATTTACCCAGAATTCATCCTTCAGAGCTTCTGCAATATTCCTTGGTTCCACTGAAGACACAAAACAAGTGGTTCCAGTCAGTGCACATTCAGAAGACAAATTTGCAAATCTTACCATATCTCTGTAGTTCACTCTCTCTTTTCTTCTGGTTCTTATTCCATCAAAGATATCTCCCACTACTTGAGTTGATGGGTGATTTTTCTGGATTCTGCTTGATGGTTCCTTTCTGCAGACATCAAGGGTTGGCTGCAACTCAGTCTCTGTAGGATGTGCTGAGTCAGATGTGGTGATACTTGGCTCAGCACCATCTTCTCTTAAGACTGGACTGTTTGTGTCTGGGCTCTCTGTGGCAGAAGTGTCTTCTTCTGTTGTTTCCCTTTCAGCAATCAAGTCATCAACTTCATCTTCAGCTGTTTTACTGCGGAGATCAGCAAAGTCATCAAATACCACATTTACAGATTCAATAATGGTTCGAGTTCTTAGATTGTATACTCTATAAGCATGACTGTTATTAGAGTATCCCATAAATAAGCTCAAATCACTTTTTGAATCAAATTTAGCTAGATGATCCCTATCATTTAAAACATAGCAGACACATCCAAACACATGCATGTATTCTAGATTAGGTTTCTTACCATAAAGAATTTCATATGAAGTCATCATAGATCCTAATCTTAGATACACACGGTTTGAGATGTGACAGGCTGTGTTGACAGCCTCAGCCCAAAACCTCTTAGACAGATTTTTTGCACTCATCATTACCCTAGCCATTTCCTGGATGGTTCTGTTTTTTCTTTCAGCAATGCCATTTTGCTGAGGAGTTTTTGGAGCAGAAAATTCATGTTTTATACCCTTTTTATTACAAAATGCAACAAATAAAGCATTCTCAAATTCTTTTCCATGATCAGATCTTATCCTACGAATAGAAACTTGAAATTGAGTTTTAACAAACCTATACAAATTTCTGAATACATCAAAAGTGTCTGATTTTTCTCTTAAAAAATACACCCAAGTATATCTTGAAAAATCATCAACACACACAAAGACATATTTTTTACCACCTAGGCTTTCTACCTCTATAGGACCCATAAGATCCATATGTACAAGTTCAAAACAAATAGTGGTACCAACGTGTTGCAACACTTTGTGTGGTACTCTGGTTTGCTTTCCCTTCTGGCACATTCCACATATAGGAATATCCTTGATCTTGAGATCTGGTACTCCTCTTATAGCATTGTACTTGTTGAGCAGCTTCAGATTCTTGAAATTTGTGTGGCCTAGTTTCTGGTGCCACAGCTCTACTTCACTTACTCTTGAGCTCTTGCATGAGATGGTGTCACCTGTTTGATAGCAATTATCCATTGATCTGGAGCCTGTAAGTACACAATGATTTTGATTATCAAACACAGAACAACAGTATTTATCAAATTCTACACGTAGATCATCATCACACAATTGACTGATACTGATGAGGTTTGACCCCAATCCTTCAACGTGTAAAACATTTGAGAGTTTTGGAAGCCCCTCAATACTGAGTGTTCCACGTCCAACCACTTTGCCTTTAGCTCCTCCTCCATAGGTTACACGTCCTCCATTAAGTGTGTGGTAGTTTGATAGAAATTCCTTTGTTCCAGTCATGTGTCTAGAGCATCCACTATCAAAGTACCATGAACCTGAAATGTTAGCATTTAAAGAGGTGTATACTGCTTTGCACAAAAATTTACCTTTGGGAGTCCATATTTTACACTCCTTTTTGGTAGATTCTACCTTTTTCTTTGAAGTGTTCCTTGAAGTGTTGTGGCTTATTTTATACAACATTTTGTCACTGCTGAGTTTTTCACAAAATGGACGAATGTGTCCTGGTGAGAAACAGTAATGACAAACATAACCTCTTATTCTGGAATCTGGAGTGGTGACTGTGGACTTCCTGCAATCCTTTCTGTTTGCACCCTTCTCTTTTACAAAGACAATTTCTTTCTTCTTAACTGGCTTCATTTGTTTTTTGAACCCTAGCCCTTCATGTTTGTAGTGCTTTTCCATTGACACAATCTCTTCGAGCTTAGTTGTGCCAGTGTTCATCCTCTTGATTGCTAGAGTTGCCTTTTTGAGTTCTTCTTTCACTTTTGCCAGTTCAAGATCCTTCTTGGTGATTCCAACCTCCAAATGTATGATTGTTTCTTTGAGGGAGGAATTTTCCTTGTTGGCTGCATCTAGAGCTTGAGTCTTCTTCTCCAAGTTTCTGATCAGCTTTTTACACATTTCTTCATCATCACTGACTGCTTCATTACTGGATTCTGCTGCATTCACAGAAATAGAGTTTAAACATGTATAATGATCAGTATTTAACTCACAAATTGAAAGTGTTTCAGAAAGTGTTGCAGCATCCAGGGAGACTCCTTGGGATTCTGTTTCAGTGGAACTTCCAGTAAGATATCTGACAGAAAGAGCTTGTTTAGAGGATTGCTGTTCCTCTGTCTGTTCAGGTTGTTCTTCCTCCTCATCACTGACAGCACAAATCAAACTCATTCCTCTCCTTCTCAAGGTATTTGCACATTCATTAGCATAATGTCCAAATCCTGAACAGGCCCTGCATTTAATATGATCCAAGTTAGGTGGTTCAGAATTTGAACGAATAAAAGAAGAATTTTTTAAATTGTTTTGAGACGGTGTTTGAGGAAATGTTCTCTGTGGAATAGATCTGTTCCGGGGCTGAGTTTGTCGATTTTGTGGAGACCCTTCTGAGAATAACTGCCTGGGCTTGATTCCACTTCGTCTGTACGCCCTATTGAATTTCTGAATCTGAAATGCCACATTATTGAGGCATTCTTCTGCATCATCATCATATTCCGGAGCAACATCTTCCTTCTCTAATTCTGCCTGGAGTGCATTTGAGATAGCCTTTCCTTTCTCCTTTCTTTGATCTTCGAAGTTCATCTCTCTGGACTTGAGACTTCCTATTAATTCGTCCAGCCGTAGAGATGATGTATCTTTAGCCTCCTCAATAGCAGTAACCGTCATGCTGAACCTTTCTGGAAGAGTTCTCAATACCTTATTCACTAGTGTCTCGTTGCTCAAAGGACCACCTAAGGATTGAAATTCATTAGCCAAGTCAATCAGCTTCTCATTGTACTGAGAAATTGTTTCAGTTTCCTCCATTCTCAGTCTCTCAAATTTGGAAGAGAGTAATCTGAGCTTGGTTCTTTTGACACTATCTAATCCCTCACAATGTAGCTGAAGAATTTCCCAAGCATCCTTTGCAGAAGTGCATACAGAGATTAATTTAAACATTGTTAAATCTACTGAATTGAAAATTGCATTTAACGCCTTTGAGTTTTGGTTAGCATTTGATAGATCGTCTGGTGTCCACCGTAATTCTGGAGTTGGAAAAACATCTCCGTCCACATCTGTGATAGTTGGTGGCTTCCATCCAGTGAGAATAGATCTCCATGCTCTCTCATCAATGGCTTTGATGTACGCCCTCATCTTGACTTTCCAGTAGGTGTAGTTCGTGCCATCAAGTACAGGAGGTCGCATAGAAGCAGTCATCTGAGTATCCATCACGAATTCGTTTCTGTAAAGAAAATAGGAACAAACCCTTAGTATACGTCAAGTGTTGGCTCTTGATGCCAATTGAAAGAATTTATGGTCCCGAATTCGTATTATACAGAGATGTTATCTAAAGTGTTATGACACTTGAGACAACATGCAGCGGAAATATAAAGATTGAAAGACAATGCTCAGAGTTAAAAATGTTCACAAGTAAAGACTTGTGAACTTGTCCTTTACAGGACGGAAAAATATATTAAAAACAGTATTCTAAGAATACAAACAGAAGAGTGCGAAAACTTCTTCCTTATGAGTAAATCTTTTTCAAGATCACTCTTACAACCAAATCTAGATACTAAAAGAAAAATATTAAAAATTCTAGATTTCAAAGAATGTACTCATAAAGAGTACGTACAACAGATCCTAGAAAACACACTAAAATTCTCGAGATTAAAACTTCAGCTCTATTTTTGTTTCCTCGAAATCTGTCCCAATCTTGAGTCTTGAGTTGGGTATTTATAGACTTGCCAAGCTTCCACTTCTCAGCCCATGATCTGCAAGAAAACCAACCACAAGAGCACTCAAGATAATGGGTTAGTGGGTTAGTTTGGAAGTTAAGATAAATTTCATAATTAAATCCACTAAGCATTACTTAACCCCACTTAGCCCACTAACTAAGATTTAGTTTAAAGTTAAGAAAAGTTAAAAACACATTGTGAAATTAATTCACGTGTTTCAATGAACATGTTCTTGGTGGAGCTAAGAGAGCATTCGGTTATGGGTTTTGGGTCCCTCAACGGATGGCGCAGCAGTTGGAGCAAGTGAGTTTGTGTCAATTGAGTTAAGTTTGAATCGGTTTGTTAATAGTTGTTAGGTCAAGATCGTCAAGCATGGTTAGCCCAATGTGGTTTGCGTCTGTTTTATATGGTTTGCAAGTTATTATCGAGATTGTTGCAAATAGTTAACCTAGTGTAGTTTACGTGTATGATTTGTATGCTATTATCGAGATTGTCATAAGTGGTTAACCTAGTGTAGTTAACGTCTCTCTCGTATAGTTTGCAAACTATTATACGAGTACCTAGTGTTTTGCACCGCTCGTGTTGCTCGCGAGTTATTGCACGGCCATGAAAAGTTACCCATTGCAGTGTTTTCAGTTTTGCACCTCTAGTGTTGTTTGCAAGTTATTGCACGACAATGAAAAGTTTCTTATTGCACCAATGATTGGTTGTGAATTTCTTCATTAATTAAAAATATTGAATATAATGGAATTATTTTTTCACGAACAAAATTACTTTATTTTCAATTGTAAATTTTCATAATTAACCAGTCGTTTAATCAAAATAGAATAATTGTTATATCTTAAGGTGTGTTTAAATTTTAAAATTTAATTAGTTTAATTTATAATAGATAAAGCCTCAAACCCATTTTATCTGTTTGCACTATGTCAGGCACTTATCTGGGCTGCCCATCAATTCATCTTTTCAGATTATTGGGCTTAAAAAGCATATTATAAATTGGGCAGAAATGAATGGGAATATTCTTTTATAGAATGTAGATACCAAAAACAACAACAAATCTGTAACCCAACACAAAATAACACTTTCATCATAGCCTCGAAAAAAGAAAATAAATAATCCCTCAAGAAAAAACAGAACACCTTCGAACTTATTCTTGTCATCGAAATCCACTTCCAAAATAATAACCGAAAAAACCCGAAAAAAACCCTCTAAAACAAAAACATCAACCGAACGTAAAAGTGCTCAATAAATTGAAGAAAGAAGACAACGACAAATCCGATAACCGTCACTGCATTTTTTCGTTCCTCAGTACCTGTAATGAGGAGGCTTGTAAGGACCTTCAACCGGAATGCTGATATAATCCGACTGATCCTTTGTAAGCTTAGTCAGCTTAGCTCCAAGCTTTCCGAGATGAAGTGCAGCAACTTTCTCATCAAGATGCTTGGGCAATACGTAAACTTCTTTACCGTACTTGCCGCTCTTCCTCTCATTCCAAAGCTCCAGCTGTGCAATCACCTGGTTCGTAAACGAGCATGACATCACGAAACTCGGATGCCCAGTTGCACACCCCAAGTTCATCAAACGCCCCTCGGCCAACACAATGATTCCAGATTTAGTCTCCGGAAATACCCACCTGTCAATTTGTCAACATACGATTATTTTCTCTTTCATGTCTACGTAAAAGATCGTTGCTAAGCAATAAAGATTGTAGCTTTATGCATTTAGTATAATTTTTTTTTTTAAAACCCACCTGTCGGTTTGTGGCTTAATCGTGATTCTCTTGACACCCGGGTAGTTCTCGAGCCCCTGCATGTCGATTTCATTGTCGAAGTGGCCGATATTGCAGACGATTGCGTTGTTCTTCATCCTCTTCATTTGGTCAACCATGATGATGTCTTTGTTGCCAGTGGTGGTGACAAAGATGTCAGCTTCGGAGAGGACATCTTCTAGGGTTAGGACTTGGAAGCCTTCCATTAGGGCTTGGAGGGCGCAGATGGGGTCGATTTCGGTGACGATTACACGGGCACCGGCTTGTTTGAGTGAGATGGCGCAGCCTTTGCCGACATCTCCGTAACCGCAGACCACGCCGACCTTTCCGGCGATCATTACGTCGGTGGCTCTCATTAGCCCGTCGGGGAGTGAGTGGCGGCATCCGTACAAGTTGTCGAACTGAGTAAAGCAAGAATTGGTAGTGTGATTAGTGTTGGTAAAGGGAAAAAATAATGGGAAAGTTAAGTTTGTTAAGGATATCCTATGATCATCTGAGTTTTCTTTGTTTTACGAATTGATCCATGATTAGAAAGTAAATGATGACTATCATGAAAGAGAATTTAAACAATAATCAAGTTGAAATCCTATGATCTTTTGAGTTTTATTGTTTAAAAATTGATCCATGATTAGAAAGTAAATAATGACAATCGTGAAGAATTAAGTTGAAATCGACTACACACAAACTGTTACTTGAGATTCTACACAGCTAGTATGCAGCAAATTTCGGAGAAATAATTTCCACGAATCAACATACTCAACAGCAGAAAACCCGAATCAAATTAGACACAATGAAACTACCTACACAATTCGAAACGAAAAACAAATATTGGGTGGTGATAAGTGATAACAGATTTCTCAGAAAAACAGATCAGATCCAACTAAAATTTCAAGATCAGGCAAAATCAATCTATAATGCAATAGAGCACGACAAATATAATGCGTAGCTCAGATCTAATGGAACAAATAATAAATACGAAATGCATAATTTAAGATCTGACTGGACCAAAATCAAAGCATATACCTTGCTCTTGGTGACGGAATCATTGACGTTAATAGCAGGGAAGAGGAGAGTGCCATTGGCCTGCATCTGGTACAGCCTCTTCACGCCGGTGGTCGTCTCCTCGGAAACACCAACCAATCTCTCCTTCATCTTCGTGTACCTCTTGGGATCGGTCTTCAGCCCGTCCCTGATAATGGTGAGAACGATCTGGAACTCGGCATTGTCGGTCGAATTCGGGTCGGGTACGGTCCCGTTCTTCTCGAACTCCTCCTCCGCCTTCACGCCCTCGTGGATCAGCAGAGTGGCGTCGCCGCCGTCGTCCACGATCAGATCGGGGCCGCCGCCGGGGCCCCAGTCAAGGGCGCGCTCCGTGCACCACCAGTACTCCTGAAGGGTCTCCCCCTTCCAGGCGAACACGGCGGCGCTGTCGCGGGCGATGGCGGCGGCGGCGTGGTCCTGGGTGGAGAAGATGTTGCAGGAGCACCAACGGACCTCGGCGCCGAGGGCGGTTAGGGTTTCGATGAGGACGGCGGTCTGGATGGTCATGTGGAGACTGCCGGTGATCCTTGCGCCCTTGAACGGCTGGGAGGGGCCGAACTCGGTGCGGCAGGACATGAGTCCGGGCATCTCGACCTCGGCGAGCTCGAGCTCGAGGCGGCCGAAATCGGCCTGGGACATGTCCTTGACCTTGTACTCGCGGCCGGAGGTGGTCTTCTCTACTAGGAGAGCCATTGGTGGAAAGAGAGAGAGGAGCGAGAAAATGGATCTGAGATTTGAATTTGGATTTGTGTTTCTCTCTCTAGATGAGTGCAAGTGAAGAGGAGTGAGAAAGAGGTGTTTAAATAGGATTTCTAGGGATTTGGAATTGGAGGGTTTGGTGGGGGGAGATCTGAGATTTGGTAAAAGGTTGGTGAAATTAATGAATCATTTTTCTGCTATCGCTTTCAATTACTATGTATTTTATATTTATTAATATATATAATGATAATTCATAATTATTTAATTAATTAGACTAAGAGGTTGGTGGCTTTGTGACATTTAAATGAAAAAAAACTAATTTTCCTTTTGACTAATCTTCTTGCGACACCTATCTAATTAAGAGCAACTCCAACGGTTTGTTAAATGGGTTATCAAATCCTTTAACCTTCATTTAACTCCTCAAATTTAAAAATTCTCTCCTCCAATAGGGTTATCAAAATAGACTCAACCATCGGGAAGTAAAAATACATCCCAAATGTATGATTATCAAATATTCTCCTAAAAAATAGGAGCACATGGAAAAAGAAAAACCTCAACAGAATTGAGTTTTCTTTTCTTTACGTAAAGATCTCAACAGAATAAAATTAAATTTTCTACATGTTCAACAAATTTTCACTCGAAAAAAAATCTCAAAAAAATCTCAACATAATACAATTTTTTTTTCTCTAGAGCTTCAACAAAGTTCCACGAAAAAAAAGTAAAAATCTCTATATATATATATTTTATTTTTTCTGTTTTGAAAAGCAATTTTGAGGATAAATTACCATAAAAAACGATTTGTATGGTGATTTAAAATGAATTAAAAAAATAAATAATTATAAATTTGTTTGATAGTTGATTTTTTGATAATTGTGGTTGGAGTTCACTAGTTGTGAATATCAAAGTATAATCTTGGTTATCAAATGAGTATTTGATAACCTCATTTGATAACAATGAGTTGGAGTTGCTCTAATAAATAAATCAATGTGACAAGTAAATGAAAAGGTAAAAAAAGTTCACCTAATATGAACAATTTTACCAACCCCACTGAATTATGAAACAAATTTTCATTTTTGAAAACAATTTGTTTTTTTTTTTTTTATTGAATTGTAGGAACTAAAGCTATAAAATAGTACATTTTACCAATTCAAGTCCGTAAAAATTATATTCACATATTCAGAGGATTTTCTAGAATATAAGACATAAGGAAGGCCATTGACTCAAATTCAAATTACATTGCAATGGTTGTTAGGTCAAGCTTGTCACACATGATTAGTCTAGTGTGATTTACATCTCTCGTATGGTTTACATACTATTATACGAGAGTGTGGGCTGCGAACCGCTTCATTACAAAAAAAAAAATCGATTAAATAGTAAAAACTATTTAAAAATAGTAACATAATCTGTGGACAAAGTTCATCTGGTTCGATAAATCGATTATCTAGTTAGCAAGTAAGGAATAATTAATTAATACAATTTAAATCTAATTAATTAATTCCATATATTGAGAATGCAGGAGTAATTGAGTGTAATTCTATATTTTTATGAGAACGTAATAAAATAAAAGTGATTTGTCATTTGAGGTAAATAATCTTACCTCTAAAATATAAAAAAATAAATAAAAATAGAATTAACCCCAAAATAAATTCCACCAACCACAAGGGCATTATCGTCAATAGACATAACCAGCTAATTTTCCCTTATAAAATCATAACTGCCAACCTCCAAACTGCCACTATTCTGCTACACTCTCGCTTTCTCTCTCACCACCACAATCACCCGCCAAAAAAAATGGATCCCGTCTCCGATTGGGGCAACACGCCGCTCGCCGCCGTGGACCCCGAGATCCACGACCTCATCGAGAAGGAGAAGCGCCGCCAGTGCCGCGGAATCGAGCTCATCGCCTCAGAGAACTTCACCTCCTCCGCCGTGATCCAAGCCCTCGGCAGCCCCCTGACCAACAAATACTCCGAGGGCATGCCGGGGAACCGCTACTACGGCGGCAACGAATTCATCGACGAGATCGAGAACCTCACCCGCGCCCGCGCCCTCCACGCCTACCACCTCGACGCCGCCAAATGGGGCGTCAACGTCCAGCCGTACAGCGGCTCCCCGGCCAATTTCGCCGCCTACACGGCGGTCCTCGACCCGCACGATCGGATCATGGGGCTCGATCTGCCGTCCGGAGGCCATCTCACCCACGGGTACTACACCTCCGGAGGGAAGAAGATCAGCGCCACGTCGATTTATTTCGAGAGTTTGCCGTACAAGGTCGATTCGACCACTGGATACATCGATTACGATAGATTGGAGGAAAAGGCGTTGGATTTTAGGCCCAAATTGATTATTTGCGGAGGGAGCGCTTATCCGAGGGATTGGGATTACAGGAGGTTCAAGGAGGTTGCCGATAAATGCGGCGCGCTACTCCTCTGTGATATGGCGCATATTAGTGGCCTCGTTGCTTCTCAGGTATCGTGTAAACGTCGAATATTCGCATCTGTTAGAATTTAATTATTTCGTGCAAATATTAATTATTTGTGTCGGATTCAGTTTTTCGTTACTGTTGTGTAAAGTGTTGGAATAGTTCGTAAAACAGTTTGTAAAAACAGAAATAAACGAGGCGTTCTAACAGCATCTTTGTTTTATTTATACTGAATCGGTATAAAATTGGGTGGATAAGCGGATTTGATCGATCCGCATGTAATTTTAGTTTTCGGATGTTAGTTGCATTTAAAATCTCGAAAATGCGAACCTAAGTATTATTCATTAGAAAACAAGAAATCGGTAACTGTATATCTGTGTAATCATAGGACGATAAGAATGTAAGATTTTTTATGTTTCTCAAGAACTCGTTATTATGGTTCGTGGTTATAGGAAGCAGCCGATCCGTTTGAGTACTGCGATTTGGTAACGACGACGACACATAAGAGTCTAAGGGGTCCGAGAGCAGGCATGATTTTTTACCGAAAGGGCTTAAAGCCAGCCAAGAAGGGGCAGCCCGAAGATGCTGTTTACGACTTTGAGGATAAGATCAACTTTGCGGTTTTCCCCTCCCTTCAGGGCGGGCCCCACAATCACCAGATCGGAGCCCTTGCGGTCGCACTGAAGCAGGCATCTTCGCCTGGATTCAAGGCGTACGCGAAGCAAGTCAGGGCTAATGCAGTTGCACTCGGCAATTATCTGATGAGCAAAGATTACAAGCTCGTCACCGGTGGAACTGAAAACCACTTGGTTCTTTGGGATCTTCGCCCGCTCGGATTGACTGGTTAGTTTGTCGAGAAAAAAAGTTTTCGTTGAACCTTTAGTTTCTCCATTTGATACGTCGAAAAAAAAAATGCTTCGGTTTTGCAGGAAATAAAGTTGAGAAGCTCTGTGATCTGTGCAATATTACTGTTAACAAGAATGCTGTGTTTGGTGACAGCAGCGCCCTGGCTCCCGGAGGAGTTCGCATCGGTAACAATCACTTCATTGTTTTCAAGTCCAAGTTCTGTTTGAGTTCTTTAGTTGCAGCGAACTTAATTTCGAGGGGGGTGTGTTCTTGTAATTATGAAAGGTGGAGGGTTGATTTAGTAATTTAGATGTACCATAGGAAAGGTGTTTTTCGTAGTCTTTTTTTTTCTCCAATGGAATGTACTTACGGAGTCTCTCTCGACGGGAGGGTATTTGAGTAAATATGTTGGTGGTGCAGGTACACCCGCTATGACATCGAGAGGATTGGTCGAGAAAGACTTTGAGCAGATCGCGGAATTCCTCCACAGAGCTGTTTCGGTCACATTGAAGATCCAGAAGGAACACGGTAAGCTACTGAAGGACTTCAATAAGGGACTCGTGAACAACGCAGACATCGAACAACTTAAGGCTGATGTCGAAAAATTCGCCTCCTCGTTCGACATGCCTGGGTTTAAGATGTCGGAGATGAAATACCGAGACTAAAATTGAAATTCATGCTAGGGCAATTTATTATGTAGTTTTCATGGTTTTTCTGGCTTTCCTGCTGTTTGATCTGTTATTGATTTTTTGGTTTGAAATGAATAAAAATATATATGCATGCTGCTTTTGTTCAATACTTCGTCGTAAACCGAAAGCCGAATCCCGGAAACCCCAAACCGAACCGGAACCGGATATGTAACTAGAAAGTAAAATATTCAAATAAAGTTTCTTATTGAAATTTAGGACCACGCAACGAAATAATTCTTTAGTTGAAGCAAAAAGGACAACGATAATAACTCCTTCGAATATAACTCGTTCCAAAACACGAATAACAAAAGGCAACAGAAAATTGAAAAGCACTACGGAATAAAAATAAAAATACTGCAACTCAAATTCCTAGATAAAAATTTGCAATGCTAAATAAAGACAATGGAAATCGAGACACACCAATAAAGCCTAAAACCTATCATTTCGTCCACCGTTGTCGCCGAAACTAGGATTGCCGTAGCTAGTACGAGGTGCTCTCTCTTGTGCAATACTCACTCGGATGCTCCTCCCGTTCAAGTCCTACATGTGTTTAAATAAGTTTAATAGAGTTGCGTCGAACCTTCAAAATATATAAATAAACACCTCACCTGTCCATCCATGGCAGACATAGCTGAGTTGGCAGCTTCTTCGCTCGAGAAATGTACAAACCCGAACCCTCTTGATCTCCCTGATTCTCTGTCCGTGATCACTCGTGCTGTACAAAAAAAAATGGAATCTTTATTAATAACTTTTCGAAGAATCGATTAAACAAATACAAGCGTCGTTATATGTTACGAACCGTAATCAACTTCACCAAAGCTGGAGAAAGCGTCTTTCAGAGACTGGTCGTCAGTTCCAAAGGAAAGCCCTGTTAAACGAAAAAGAAGCATATGCATTTGAGATAATCGTAACAAATACTTTTTAGTAGACTATGGAAATATGATTTCAGAAACAAACCTCCGATAAAAAGCTTTGTGGACATGCATCGGATAGCGTTGAACATTGAAGATTGTCCGTTCAATGCATTGCTAGCAGAAACGCTCTGCCTCAAAAGGGAACCAACTTTGTTGTAGAATGCCATTTCTGTAAGAAAGACGAAAAAAAAAGTCAGATAATCGAATGTCTCGACATCCAAAAGTTTCGTAATTCAGATTAACATATAGAGGCCAAAATGAAACTCTTGGTTGGTTTGGTAATCAAGAAACAATCGTAATCGAAATATTGCCAACGAAATACAAATCCCACTAAAAACAAAATTCCAAAAATCAATACAGAGTTTTTTGCCCACAAGATTCTAGTTTCAACAAACAACACTTGATTTAAATTTCATATCCAACCCAAGCATTAGACTGTGAAAAACACTTCTTCATAACTCCACACACACACACACACACACACACACACACACATATATATATATATATATATATATATATATATATATATATATATATATATATATATATATATATATATATATATATATATATATATATATATATATATATATATATATATATATATATATATATATATATATATATATATATATATATATCAAGTAAATCGAAACACACAATAGATCCAGTAAATCGAAAGATCAACACAATACTATTACAGAAACTAAACATGAAAAATAAAACGACGAATATGAAATCGCGCATCAGAAGAACATAAAAATTAAATTGGGGAAAAATGCAAACATGAAGATCAGAGCGTTGAGAATAGATTAGATTCAACAAAACTACTTACAAAAAACGAATTTTAATTCAAAAAATTGAAGGAAAACGAAATACCTGGGTGAGAGAAAGTTCTAAGAAGAGAGAGAGAATTGTGTAGAAGCGGCTAGGGTTTAAGCTGTGTCTGTCAGCTTCACTCTCTGGTGTCAGATAGAGAGGTTTATGCTTATATAAAAGATCTGAGAAAATATCTCGAGTTTTTTTTTCTGGTGCGGATAGTTTCCTGCTGTTTGGTGCAGTTTGAGTGGGTTTTCAATGAGTAATTCCGTGCTTTTCTCCCTGGAATATCTCTTTAATTTTGATGGTTTGCTAGTCAAGAAAGAACTAATACTAATATTAAAATAATGTTAAATTACGAAAAAATTCTTCATGTTTGAGAAATTACAATTACCTCCCTTAATTATGCATTGTTTTAGACGTTTATTTTTACGGTGTTAATTTATCTAGTGAATGAGAGGTTTTCTCGTTAAAAAATACATAGTTGAGGATATAATTATAATTACTCAAACAATATGATTTTTTTTGTAATTTAAACTTATTTTAAGGGTATGGCCGTAATTTACCAATAATTTATACATATAATTGTAGTCAATTCCTCCACCAATTTCATACAAGTATATATATATATACATTTTTAACAAATAATATAAAATTTTAGGATTTTACATATAAAATAATTACATTGTGTATAAGAAACGAGGCAAAACTTACTCTATGGGCCCAAGATAATTACAATTATAAAGATATCAGTATATCGTAGGTAAAAATCCGTTTGGTTAAGTTTATTTTAAATAATTGGTAAATTTTTATATTTAGGACCGACAATTAAGTCGGATTAAATCGAAGTTCGATGATTTGTCCGACTATATTTGAATCGAGCCTACTTTTTAGTAAGTCGGGCAGACTTTGAATCATTTTACTAAACCCAATTTATTTATAAGTTGACTTTGAACCTAATATAGCTCAACCCGAATAAGACTCGACTGATTACGTTAATAATAAGATATATAATACATTTATTGTTTTAATGATACGACTCTAACATACAAATTACGATCGTATAAGTTACTTTATTTTGCAAAAAAAAAAATCAAAATAAAAGGAATTAATAGTGGCGATGGCAATAGTCAATAGAAATCAAATGCAAACATACCTATTGATACCTAATTGCTGAAAATTTGTCACCGGGATTTGAGATTATAAAAAATATTTCCAATAATAAGAGTTACTAATTTTTTTTTTACTTCTTTCAGTCTTTTTGATATTTTTTTTTAATAACTTACAAAGATCGTTTATAATTTATTTGTACTACGATCGAGGTAAATCTTGTTAATCACTTGTTTTTATAAAAAAAAACTCATTACCGTTATATATTAACGAGGCTGGATATAAATCCGAAGCTCGAGAAAATACATAAGCCGAGTTTGAGCCTATACTAATGAGGTCCGATAGTATGTGAACTTGAACCAATGATATCGAGGTACGATGGTATGTGAGGTTGAGCCGGCCCAAATTCGGCTCACATGACCCGATTGACAGCCCTACTTGTATCTAATAAATTATTTTAAAAGTTGATAAACAATTACATCTTATATTTAAAATTAATTTTTAAAATATTTAAATAATAATCTCCGAAATAAAAAAAAAGAAAATAAATAAATAGCCGAATCCATAATCCTTATATTTATACTCGAGTACTTTTATTAATCTTATTTATAAAAGAAAGAAACGCTAGGGCAACCCTAAGAAACCCTAATGTCATATTTGTAATTTTTTTCAATTTTTATCAAATTTTTATCTCCTTAATATTATTTTAAATATTATTTTTGAATTTTATCATATTTGTATCCCCTAAATATTATTTTAAATATTATTTTTTTATTTTTATCAGATTTTTGTCTCATAAATATTATTTTTTATTTTTATCAAATTTTTATCTCCTAAATATTATTATAAATAATATTTTTTTAATTTTATCAAATTTATATCTCCTAAATAATATTTTAAATATTTTTTTCGAGTTTTATCATGTTTTTATTAGTTTTTTGTCTCCTAAATATTATTTTCGTTTTTTATCAGATTATTGTCTCCTAAATATTATTTTCGATTTTTATCAAATTTTTATCTCCTAAATATTATTTTAAATAATAATTTTGATTTTAATCATATTTTATCTCCTAAATATTATTCTAATTATTATTTTCATATTTTATCAACTTTTATCTCATTAACATTATTTGAAATATTATTTTCGATTTTTTATCAAATTTTTATCTCCTAACTATTATTTTAAATTTTATTTTTGATTTTTATCTCCTAAATATTATTTTTTGATTTTTTTATCAAATTTTTATCTCCGAAATATTATTTTATATATTATTATCGATTTTCATCAAATTCTCCTAGATATTATTTATAATAATCTGATTTTCAATTTTTACAGAAAAGGGTAAATAAATCTGATTTTCATCCCTAGCGGATTTTGTGACATCGTTTTACAGAATGTCTGCAACATTTGTTGAAAATTATAGTTAGAAAATTAAGAAAAATATTAAAAATAAATAATTGCAGAAGTACCATTATAGTAGGATTCTTCACGGGTTAGTTTCAATTTTGATAATTGTTAATAATTATAGGTAAAAATTAGTAGTATTAAAAATATTAAAAATAAATAATTACAAAAATACCATTAAGGTTTTTCTAGGGTTGTCCAATGGTTCTTTCTTTTAGATATAAGATATAAGATATATTTTTTGGAAAATCTGACCGTAAGGAGCTGCCAATTGTGTGGAAATTCAATTTTTTTAAATCCGACAATTTAAATAATATTTATTATTATTATTATTATTATTATTATTATTATTATTATTATTATTATTATTATTATTATTATTATTATTATTATTATTATTATTATTATTATTATTATTATTATTATTATTATTATTATTATTATTATTATTATTATTATTATTACTAGTAATTGTACCCGTGCGATGCACGGGACAACAAATTGCATTTTTTTGATGTTGTAAGAATATAAACAAACGTTTGATGTATCGTATGATCAAAATTCTATTATACTGGAACATCATTAAGTATACTACACACAAAAAAAAGGAAATAACTTTACTGTTGAATAATTTTCCAAATGAATTGAATCAGCTAATACCAGTAGATTGAAAATTTGAACCAGGAATAAAATCATCAACTATATCTTTCATGTTGAGCTAAAAGGTTATCTATACATCTTGCATCGGAACTAACCCCTTCTCCACTGCCTCATTTTCAGGCTGTTTTTGCCACTGGAATTAACAATTGGAAAATTAAGAAACAAAAATAAATATAAACAATAAATTAAATATCGCATACAAACAATAAGTCTTGAAGGTCAACTTCCAATAGCTTGTGGCTCCACCCATTTTTGGTTAATTCTCTCAAATCATCCATTTCAATAACATGTCCAATAACATGTCCAATAACATATAAAATGAAATAATTGCTATACATAAAATTTGAAAACTTTGGTATAAATTAATGAAACACATAATTTAACAAAATGAAATTACCTATAAGCCATGATGGAAAAAGATGTAAACTAATTGCCACACAGTCAATAGGATGAAGAAGATAAAAAACAAAATCTAAAGTCGGGTTACCAAAAGAAGAAGCTTAGGTAGGGAAGAAATAAAATTCAAATGTTGAAGACATTATGTAAAACGATGTCACAAAATTCGCTAGGGATGAAACTCAGATTTATTTACCCTTTTCTGTAAAAATCGAAAATCAGATTATTATAAATAATATCTAGGAGAATTTGATGAAAATCGATAATAATATTTAAAATAATATTTAGGAGATAAAAATTTGATAAAAAAATCAAAAAATAATATTTAGGAGATAAAAATCTGATAAAAATCGAAAATAAAATTTAAAATAATAGTTAGAAGATAAAAATTGGATAAAAATCGAAAATAATATTTCAAATAATGTTAATGAGATAAAAATTGATAAAATACGAAAATAATAATTAGAATAATATTTAGGAGATAAAATTGTTAGAGTAGGTGACCAACAAGCCAACTTGTGGCTGTGGTCTTTCGTATTTATTATGGTAATAAACGAACATTTATTCGTATTAATGATAAAACACCTTGGCATTCTATATCTTTGTCCCTTTGTCACAAGCATAGATATAGGGCAGTGAATATTTGCAATCCTAAAATTTCTAAGGGGAAGACCAAATCAAATTTTCCAACAATACTATTACTTGAAACTACAATAATACCCTTACTCTATAAAAAATCTAAAAAAAAAAAAAAAACAAAAAAAACAAAAAAAAACAATTATATTAGAAACCCACAAAAATCATCTCCCTCAGCAGCACTAGCAGGTTGAGTTGCCTTTTCCGGTGGCACTGGCAAGAGATAACGGCTGCGTGCTGAGGGTGAGCAGCAAGCGGAAAGGTAGTAGAATTTTGGCTGCCGGCGAAATTGAGCGGCGGGTGGCAGAAAAAAGATGCTGAAGTCTGGGGAAGATGTCTTCCACAAGCTGTTTTTGGTGCTTCCTCTCCCTCTTCTTCCATCCCCTCTTCCTGATTTGCTCCCCTCCCTCCGTCTGCCCTACCGGAAAACGCCGCTACCTCCGCACACGCAATTTCACCTCCAAATTGACGCTGTAATGTCGAAATAAACTTCATTTTTCGACACATAAATGTCAAATTTTCCCCTTTAATTCGACACCTCTCTGTTATGTCGAAATTTTTGAAAAGAATCGACAAATATATGTCGAATTTTCTGCAATATTTCGACACTTGTGTGTCGAATTAAAAATCGACATTTGTGAGCGGCGATGGAGGACTTTTTTTCGACGGCAATAGAAGACATCTTATACGGTGGCGATGGAGGACTTATTTTCCGTCGGTGGAGGCGGCGACGCAAGCTTTGTCGGTGCGTGGGCGAGATTTCGGTGAGACTTGAAGCTTGAAGTCGTGTCCTCGAATGTGTCGTCTGGTTGTGGTCTTGCGTGAGAGGAATTGGATTTTAAGTCTTCTTTTAATAATTTGAGTTGGAGGGTAATTTTGGTATTTGATTAGATTGGTCTTCCTCTAAGCATTTTTTCGATTGCAAATAGCCGCCCCATAGATATAGTCCTTACAGTTATTACAAGTACTAGTAATTGATCGTTAGGATCGTGAGATATTTACTTAAGTATTATAACTGTTAAACGTGTTCCTAGTCGAAGGGTTACGCCACCAATGAGGATATCGGCCTTTCCCATTAGAAGACTAGCACTTAGTGTATGTGTACTGCATCTCATCAGTAAACGGTATTGTGATATCGGCATGCATAAGTGGGTGCTCGTAAGTTGACGAGTTCACTGAACTCCCTCACCCTAGAAATCTCTAAGTGGTTCCCAATAATCGAGTAGAGATATCTATGGTATAGTTGTACACCATTAGTCCTTATGACCTAGACATCACCGTGACTTCACTAGAGGACCAGCTGTATCGTGACCTGTCCCTGAGTTCCACCGAGGACCATCCCAAGGGCCAGTGTTCGTGCAGTCCGAAATCTAGTGGGAGGTCTGTGCATTGTAGTCGGGGATTCGATCGCTAGAATAGTCTTGGATGTCCTGTGTGTTCTGAAAGTTTGTAATCATTCTAAGTCTCTGGCCAGAGCTGACTAAGTGATGATTAGAGAATTCGATTCTCTAAGTCATGCACGTAAGGATTACAACACTTAGAACGATCGCACCGTCATCGAACATATAAAGAGGTCTCGATGAACCAATGCCTCTAGTTCGATCGGGACATATGAATCGAAGGGACCGTACTGTACGTTAACTATATCTGAAGGTTCTTGCAGGCACTTCATTTGTATCTAGGGAATCATGACGCGTAGTTGCTAGACGCCAATCTTGATTCGTTGGGTGATTAAGGTGAAACGAGTTTCATCTTAATCGTAACTCTAAGGGGACGAGTTTTGACCACAAAGGGTTGTGGGCCCACGGCTAGCTTACACCTGAACCATCGAGGGTCACACTGCTCGTGCACATGAGATCTTTGAATAAACGGTCAGAGATAAAATGGTTTATCTTTGCATGATTGGAAGTCAATATGATTGGGTCCAACATTCGTAATTTGGAATTATGAATGAGAATAAGAAAAGGAAAAGAATAGGCGAAAGTTGTAGTGAACTTTCTAAATCGGGAAGTTTCCAAATTTAGAAAGTGCACTGAACTAGGGTTTCCACTTTTGGAAAGTTGGAAAATGAAAGATGGCACTCGTAATGACGAGGACATTATAATGATTCCGAAAATGTAATCGTTACATTTTTTCAATCATTGAATTGAGAGGGACGAGCAAGTAAAGGAACTAACGAACTTAAGCTGTTGGGCCCGGTCCAACTTAAGCCCGTTAGGGTTTTATGCAAGACACTATAAATACAAGATTTATAGGTCTTACAAAAAAAACACAACACGTCCAAAAACCCTAGCCGCTCCCTCTCTCACGCTCGGCCATCTCCCCTCGGCCACCGCGCCGTCGTCGCCGGAAAATCGCCGGAATCGGCCATCCGTTGGCCGATCCCTTTCGGTATTCTTTTTCCTTCTTTCTTTTCTTCCGTTTTTCTAACTATTACGTGTCTAGTGCCACGTATTTAGTAGATCGAAGTATACGAGGTGAAATCCAAGAGGAGGAAGATCGAAGAATCGAAGATGCGAGAAGGCAATTCTGGAAAACTGCTCTCGGATTTTCTGCGCTGTCCAGCGAGAAAATTCGCCATAAATCAACCGGTGATCGGGTGGACGTGAAATTTTGACAGCAGCTTCACGACTCATAAATCTACAATATTCCAGAAGGAATTGTTCATCCAGTAAATAAGAATGGAGATATTGAAGTCGGAGCAAGGCTGTAATTTCAGATCAGCAAACGGGTTGGATCAATAGGAGTGGGAAGAGCAGCTAGCCATCTTCTCGAGTCGTTGTTCGATTCATGCTTCAAGGACAGCGTGCCGCTGCACTGCTGCTGCCCCGATTGTACGGATTGGTTTCCGTAGCAATCTCGACTTGCTAAACGCTCCTACCTCACGCTTCAAGAGGTAAACACACGAAACCCTAGTTTCGGTTCGTTTAGGTTTAAACTATTTATTCATGTTTGCTTTCGTATGATTTTATGTGATTATGTGTAATCGTTTTAAATCAATGCCAGCATGTTATTTGGTTTAAACGCGAGCATGTTAATTGATTTAAATTCGGTTAAATTAATTAGCATGTATGTTGTTTTTAATTTCGCTGGAAGCGCAAAGGTACGCAATTAATTGATTTAATTTATCGGGCGTGTGCTTATGTGCTTTAAAGTCGTTTAAATCGCATAAAATTTTTGTTTTCCGCTGCGTACACGTGCCCGAAACACAACAAAAATATGATTAAAATCAAAATTATTATTTAAAATAATATTTAAGAGATAAAAATTTGATAAAAATCGAAAATAATGTTTAGGAGACAATAATCTGATAAAAAAAAAAATTAATATAGGAGATAAAAAACTAATAAAAACATGATAAAACTTGAAAAAAATATTTAAAAATATTATTTAGGAGATATAACTTTGATAAAATTCAAAAATAATATTTAGGAGATAAAAATCTGCTAAAATTTGAAAATTATATTTAAAATTATAGTTAGGAGATATAAAATTAATGATCAATTACTAGTACTTGTAATAACTGTAAGGACTATATCTATGCTTGTGACAAAGCGACAAAGATATAGAATGCCAAGGTGCTTTATCATTAATACAAAAAAAAAGTTCGTTTATTACCATAATAAATACGAAAGACCACAACCACAAGTTGACTTGTTGT